TTCGTGCGCATGTGTACTTTTCTGTGGCTACACATGCGCACGAACGATGGATGCTGGAAATTTCAATTTAATTTTTTAAATCTAGCTGGTGAAGCCAACAAATTTAGTTCGATGAAGTCCTAAAGGAAAAAACGTGTCTTACCATGTTGTCATACGTTTTTCACAATATACACACACACACACACACACACACACACACATACATATATATATACACATATATATATATACATATATATATACATATATATATATATATATATCTCAATAATCGTAACCAGCATGTTCTTGATTATAAATTCTCATGTGTGCGTTCATAATTAATATGGCGACCTCGACGAACACCTATATCTGCACATTGGAAGCTGTGACACACCTACGCGCGTGGAAAGCGATTCTCTCATTGTTTGGCCGGTTCGCTAGCAAAACGATGATGCATTCCTCAGTGCTTATGCACGAATCTTTCTATGTTGGTTCAACAATTCGAAATTTCATCGCATCCACCAGGCGGCGGGCTTGCTCGTCCTGCTTCCTGTCGGTTCCGTCTTTGTCGCTCTCGTTTTAGCCAGTGCCGTACGCAAGCAGACAGCCACAGCAGAAGGAAATATTTTGCATCGATATAAATTTGGCTTTCTCTTTTAATATACAATATCTAGGCAATCATTCATCACTTCTTTTATATGACTGTCTTTTTATCTATCGTTCGTTCTTTCTTTCTTTCTTTTCCTCTTTCTCTCTCTCTCCTATTTATCTCTATCAGTCCTAGTTGTAATCTATCTATCTATCTATCTATCTTTTAGTATGAAAATTCCAAATAGGGTGAAATGAAATTTAGATTGCCTTGGGCCATATTTCGCAAATAGCTCAATAAATAAGAACAGATTGATATTGATAGATAGATAGATAGATAGCTAGATAGATAGATAGATAGATAGATAGATAGATTATAATCAAAATGTCAGTATCTTCTCTTCCTCCTGGATGATGATTGGTCAATTAAATACATGCATTTACATACACTTATATTTGACTGTACCGTATGTGATGGATTTTGTTGGAAATCACGCCTGAAAATCGCTTTTAGTTGCAATTTTACAAACGATTTTTATTCATAGTGTTCATTATATATTCATTTTTAGCCTTAATTCCATGGCGAATATTAATGATAGAGACCGGATATTATACAATGAAAATTTCAGATCAATATCCAAGTTAGAGGCTTATTGATATAATTTTGTTTCATATATATATATATATATATATATATATATATATATATATATATATATATGTGTGTGTGTGTGTGTGTGTGTGTGTGTGTGTGCGCGTGTGTTATGCGCTATTAGCTAAGGTTGGTTTAGTCTAGCAGTTGCTCAGTGTAGTTAAAGTCCCCAGTAAGGAAGGAATTCACTGTCTTATTAATCAAACAGATATTAAACGTATTAAACATGCCATTGACAGTGTCCATATAATATATATATATATATATATACGGGATAATTGCAAAGTAACACCCCATTTTTAGCACGAGGTTTTATTTAAAATTCGATATGGGCATCAGATTTCGCTACAATCTTCTCGAAGCGCCCAGGAATCAGTTCAACTGATTTCACCGGGAACTCTTCTGCAATGGAAGACATAACTTTTTGCATTCGTCCTTCAAGTTCTTCCAAGGCCTTGGTTTGATATAATAGACTTGCTTCTTTAATCAACACCAAAGAAAAAAGTCACAATCACCCTGTCTTTCTCTCTCTCTTTCTCTCTCTCCTCTCTCTCTCTCTCTCTCTCTCTCTCTATATATATATATATATATATATATATATATATATATATATATGAAGAAATATAGTTTTAAGGTGCGCTATATTTATGGGTTAAAGTGCTCAATATCAGAGCTAGAGCGTGTGTAAATATATATATATATATATATATATATATATATATATATATATATATGGCTATGGGCTACATGTTCAACCACATACCCACTAATCCCCTCCCTTTTCTAAGTCAGTGAAAAGGCATTTTGCAAAGTTATTCGTCGGCATGATAGGGGACAGGAGCAAGTGGTTTTACACCTTTCCCAAGGACATAAGTGCAAAGCCAGCATCAATGCACTCAAGAAGGTTTATATGTGTATATATATATATATATATATATATATATATATATATATAGAGAGAGAGAGAGAGAGAGAGATAGACAGATAGACAGACAGATAGATGGGTTGTTGCAAACAGGTTTTTGGCAACAATATCAGACTGAATGGTTATATTTTCTTGATTTGTGTGGATATTTGCTAACCATTGCTTTGTTAAGGCACAAGAGCATGGCATATAGACCCGAACTTACTAATAACGTCTTGAGGGATTAATCCTCTTAATTATAAATTAAATTTTCATGTCCCCTGTATTTTTGATTGGCTTTGATTGCCCGGATAATCACACCTTCTTATTTTGGTAACACGTTAGATATCTTAACTCGTATTGATTGCTTTGCACGATCGTCTGTCCATCTGATTTTAAAATTGACATTCACAACCCTGTCTTCTGAACAAGATACAAACACCGCCGACTTGTGATATTCAGTTATCAGATAGGCTCTTGAAAATAGATTTATTCCGGACAGACATAGGCCAGAGGCAGAAACAAACGACGATATACAGAATATATAGTGCTAGTCGGGAGGTTTTGTCCACTTTAAGTCAGCACTCGCAAATCCTGTTGTTTTTACTTCAACTTTCATCAATGAAATACAGGTGTTCTCTCTGCCTGTCTGGCTCTTTCTCTCTCCCCTTATATATATATATATATATATATATATATATATATATATATATATATATATATATAGTTGAATTGATGTGAGTTTGTTTGAACTAAATATATTAGCTCTATCACTGATATTAAGAGCTTTACAATAAGTACCGCACATATATAATATATGAATGATATATATATAAATTGCATATCTATCTATCTATCTATCTATCTCTCTCTCTCTCTCTCTCTATATATATATATATATATATATATATATATATATATATATATATATATACATACATTTTTACATATATCTATGTATATTTATATACATACACATTTTGCATATATACATTGTAACCTGGATATAAGAGACCCGGATATAAGAGAAACCCGGATATAAGAGAGATTTTCTCTGGTCCCAAATTAGAGCCTGTGTTAATGTATATAAAATAGAAACCCGGATATAAGAGACTTCTCCGGTCCCGACAACTCTCTTATATCCGGGTTACACTGTATATATATACAAATAAACAAATGCCGATGCTGTTCGCACCTTGCCAAAAATGAAATCAGTCTTTGAACACTTGTAAAATCCAAGATTTCCTATGATGTAGGTAATTCTAGATTCTTTCAATTCAGGGGAGGTTTGGGAGGATTGACTCAACGCAATCTTCTTATCATTACGATTTCTTCCGGATCGATATTGATCGATATTTCTCAACAGGACAATTAGTCAGTGATTGAGCCCAGGAAAAAAAGCTAGAAATTATTCTTAATGAAATCAACCTCACTCCATTTTTAAGATCGACGCAGCGTAATATTTCTACACGAATGCTTTCCAGTTTATCACTGGGCTAAATTAAACCCAATGAATATATAAACGAGAAAATAAATTAGTTATCCCTCCATGAATTTATCCTTTTCGGTCAACCAATGAAGCGAAATCAATTATCGATCAAGAAAGATAATCAAGGTTAGTTTTACTAGAATTACATCGGCGGTCAAGTTTCGTCTCGCCTACCAATATTCTTTTTAGTTCACCATTTCAGCGTGTCCGGGCGTGTTTTTCCGAAAGCAGTTAAGAGAGGAAGAGTACATATGTTAATGCATAGGACGCATTTTTTTGAGCACACACATATACACGTATGTGTGAGTGTGTGTATGTCCGCGTTCGTGTATATATGCCTTTGCGTGTGTGTCTATGCATATATCTGTATTTTAATATATGTGCATGCATACCTCTATATTTATAAATTTTAATATTTCTGTACGCATGTTTCGATATATATATATATATATATATATATATAATTTTCAAGATCAGAAAAAAGTTACATTTACACTATATGTGGCTGTGGCTATAGGGTATTGAGTACTGTATTGAAAAAAAATCAACGATAACCTACATTTAATTGGAAATATAGTTCAATTAAATAATTAATCGTTTATATATATATATATATATATATATATATATATATATATATATATATATGCACACACACACACACACCTCTCTTTAGAGCATCGAAATAATTATCCCTGTCTCATTCTCTTTTTGCCATTCTTTATCTTTCTCTCCTATTAACTCTATCCCACCTTTTCTATCTATCTATCTATCTATCTATCTATCTATCTATCTCTCTCTCTCTCTCTCTCTATATATATATATATATATATATATATATATATATATATATATATATATATATATATATATATGTGTGTGTGTGTGTGTGTGCGTGATTCTAAACAAAGAGATTTTAGTCTTAAAATAGTGATGTAGCTTAATTCCACATTTCCTTATGTCTCTATCCTTTTTCTACTTCTCTGTTTAGAGAGTGCTTCACCCACATTTACCATTCTTGCTCTTTATTTCTCTCCATCTCTCTCATTGATTCTGCCTATCTGTCTGATGTTTCTCACTCCCAATCTCTCTCTCTCTCTCCCTCTCCCTCCTTTTCTCTCTCTCTCTCTCTCCCTTCCTCCCGGTCCCCGAATTTTCCTTTCTTTTTAATTTCAATGAAAATTTCATACGTTCTCAGTCCGTCTGAAACGAAACTCATTCGATTGTTGCAGTTATTTTTATCATCAACTCTTTGCCTAATCAAAACGCTGATCAATTCAGTTGATCATCTCTTTATTCTCCTCCTCCTCCTCCCGGTCCTCCACCTCCCCTTTTCGTCTTGCTTTTCTTTCTCTCTCTCTCTTTCTCTCTCTCTCTCTCCTTAA